GGTCAAGAAAATTTGGATCTATGCATCCACTCCCCATTGCGCCTTCATGGCGTAGTGCTTGATTAATTAAGCACAGGGACATTTTTTTTTCTTGGCACTAGAGCCCCAGTGGACCTAGGCCTACATCCATGAACTTCTCCTTTCACTTCGGTTTTTCTAGATCTTAGACGTTCTGTAGGACTCCTTGGGCGGGTGATCAGCTTGTCGCAAGGCCTCTACCGGGACAAATTTACATTACCTAAAAATTACGGGCAGGGGTGTAGAACGCAACTCTGTGGTTGTAGCAGATCTGATAACTTTAAGATATGACAAGATTCGGCCCTCGTCAAAAGAAACAATGAAAGGGACGTAACGAACCAGTTTGGTATACGAATTCAAATAGAATCTTAACAAACTAACTATAAATATTTTAAAGTATTGGAACAGCCGCTGTAGTTGTAAAGACTTCAGATTTTACAGCCAATTGTATATTATTTATATTGTACGTATATATTTTAACTTTTAGAACATGTACTGTAATAGTGGCTTCTAACTGTATTGATGTAAAGGTGTCCCTCTGAAGACCGAAACATGTAAGGGCATGAATAACTGAAATGTGAGAAGAAGAAAAAAAAACTTAACCAGTCACACTGGACGGAACTGTTTAGCTTTGTCATGACAAGATATTATTGAAATCTCTACATCGAAATAATATTACTGAAGCCTCATTATTAGTCATTTATATTTAGTGATGTCCTCCCTGGAAGTAAGGATGATTGTGAACGGGCGGAGCTTTACCTCCATTCCCTACATTCTTCTTCAGAACGTAGCACTGTTAAAGTGTCAGTGCACTCGAATTCTAACGTTTATTTGGCGGGACCGAGGGAAACGTTTCATGTTTTACGCGCTACTAAATTTCTATTGCCTGTACGCTTTGCATGTCTATGGGCTTAGTGAATGAACTGAACAACAATAATGGGAAGGAACGCTGTAGCTAATTGGTAACTTGTAATTTGCACCATGAGGTCCATTAGCGCACCTTCACAGAACGTAATTTACGGCAACGTGTATTGAACAACACTGTTTCAAATTTTCCTCATGAAGTTTTATAGTTGTTATGCTACCGAAATTCCTGTCCACTAGTAATTCCGGTCTCTCCTCTTGAGCGGACACATTTCGTGTCTCACAGACTGCACAACACACAAACACATCAAAGGCTTACTGCAGCATTAGAGTCTAATCAGTTTTGCTTTGGTACGGTTATGAAATTTGGTTTCTTGGTCTGACGGGAGAATATTGTTTGATGGTGTCTAAGAAGAGGAGACAGTTTGAATTTAAACAGGTTATATTAAGCGTTAATAGACTGGGGAAAATTACGCATTAAAAATATGTAATTTGAACTTTTCGTCTAATATTGTTAACGCTGTTAATTTGTGGCGGAACATGTGGCTACTCCTGAAGGGAACTATGAGCTACAGGAAAAGAAACTTTTGAAACCATTTTGGTGAGATACAATGAAGTCTTCTAGGGCAATGATCCGTGTAAATGTGGAGTTGGTTGATGTTCCTTGTGCCCAACGTCAGGAGCTGGAGTGCTCACCCATTATATAGTCACATGTCCGGTGTTCCGTGACAAATTTTTGAGGCTCTAGACGAAGCAGTTTTATTGGATAACTCGTTTACAATTACAACTACAATCACTCTGACATAACTTCTTCCAGACGATGCGACCTGACTAGTGCCTCGTCTATGATCTGATCTCATTTATCTGATCTGATATTCGCCTGATCCGATCTTATCTTCCTGAGGAAGCTTCTTGGAGTGCCAAATAGCAGACATCTTATCGAATAGTTAATTTTTCTTGCTGTCGTACAAACGACTCTCTCGTTTCTACGAGAATATGTTTACCTAGCCGTTGACTTGCAATTGACGCTGTTGTTGTCATGCAAATGCCTCAAACAATTCGTTACCTATTAATTATTTCTGTTGACTAGCAATGGATGGTAGTTGTCTCGCACTGTCTTGAAAATGCGTTACCTACGAAGTGACACTTCTCTGTGTAGTGGGTTCACCTGTCACAATATGAACTCCTGACGATGGAGACGGAGAGAGACTCTGACACATCGGACGCCAACTCCACATTAACACAACTTATTGCGGGAGAGGACGCCTTGAAAGCTTAAATCGTATTCTATGGGACGATATTAAGCGCGAGAATGTGGCCTTAACTTGTAGCGAAAGGAAGGGAAAATGAAATAATAAAGTTTCATTTTAGGCGGAAGTATATATGTCTATAAATTCTTGGGTTGTTTAACGACACTATTTCAAATGCAAATTATAGGCGTAGAAAACATATGTAAACAATTTCGTCGCTGTTAGTCATGTCAGGCATTCATATGAGGTTTCGATGTGTCGGATTACTGATGATGAAACTGAGTAACTTTTAATTCCAGAAACTTAGGAGAATTACCACATTAGTAGATCGTGCGCAAGTTGCAATAGAATCGCCGTTCCGCCGACACAGCTCAGTCATGAGGAAAGGCTAAGACTGTTCCTTACATGGAAGAGCACGTGTTCCTGGAAACTGAGACAGTAGAGTATTCTATGTATCACTGCACTGAACACTAGCCAAGGAAAACTTGTAAGATTTGAGGCTTTCACGGCGGTGACTATGAAGAAAGCAGACTGCTTTTACCGGTTCTCACGGTCTCTTCGCTTGCGGATTTCTTATATTTTTTCCTTCTACCCTGAAGATGGAGGCGATACGTTCCTCCGAAACGTCGGTTAACACCATATATACACGGTGCCAAATCCCAGAAAACTGCTTTCTTCAAGGTAAACTTGTTTACAGCTGAGTACTGCCTTCCGTGTCAGCGACAAGCGCACGGTTCCAGTGTTGCAAGACACGTAATTCTCTTCCATTCCGCAGGCAACATGACGAAGGGAACATAGAGGAAATATAGGGTTTGAGGTTCTCACAGAAGTGGTTATGGGTTTTCTATCTTCTGGGACATAAACCGTGTAATCCGTTGAAGGAATGTGTCACTTCTATCTTCAGGCTAGAAGAATAAGCCATGCTGGAAACCAGATTTCTTGCTTCAACATTCATGCAGATTTATAGCTTGGATTATATTTCAACCCTGAAGATGGAGGCGACATATTCCTTTGTAACGTCGGTTGATTTTCGACGGAGTACACAGCGTTATATCCCAGAAGATGAGAATTCTTCAGACAGGAATTATTTTGCAATGCAGGAGGATATACATTGTGTCGGAAAGTAGCGACATTGAGACACAGAGATAAAGAATTGCCTCTTAAGGTAAAGTTACATTTCCTCTGCGTCATTGGAACAAAGCCATTGTCTCTTATGACTGAGTTACAATTGCTGGAGCGCCTCCATTACAGCCAATGTTTCGGGTATCAAGGACATGGCTTATGTTTCAATTGAATGTCGACGTAACTTTAGTATTATTTTAATTGCAGACTTATTTAGGTATAAACGGTATAGCGACTAGCTACAGGCTGCACGACCGAAGGGTCGGAGTTCGAGTACCGGTAGGGTAAAAAATTTTCTTCTCTACACGTCGTCCAAACAGGCTCTGGGGTCCACCCAACCTTCTACCCGATGGGTAAAGGGGCTCTTTTCTCTGGGGTAAAGCGGCCGGTACGTCAAGCTGACCACTCACTTACAACGAGTGCCGAGGTCAAGAAAATATGGATCTGTACATCCACTCACCCATACGCCTTCATGGCGTAATGATTAATTAGTTACGCACAGGGAAAATTTTACCTTACCTTACCTTAGTTGTTTGTTCCATGCTGTCACTTTTCTATAGGTTACTTTTATTTTATATTTTTCTAACTTCACTGCGTCTACAGGAATCTGTTTTGCAATGTGAGAAAAACAAAATGTTGTTGTTAGTGGACCTTGCTTACATGTAACATCTGTAGGTTCTCTGCTCGTGGGTTCGACTCATCCTCTAACAGAAAAAAAGTACCAGGAATCTTCCTGGGGTAAAGGGGGGCCGGTGCGTAAAGCTGACATCCTCACTGCCATTTGTTAGTCGATTGTCTAGAGAAATGGGAGCCTAGACGTCTCACAAACCTATAGGCCTTCACGGCCTGTTACAGGGATAGCTTTACCTTTTATTCGCATTCAACAACATGGCGACAAGTTGCATGTTGCATAAGTTACGTTCAGATGGAGCACAGCAACATAAATGAGAACGTTCGAGCTTATGTAAAAGCCTTGGGTACCGAAGTGGTGTAACGATATCTCTCGTGTAATAACTTATTGTTGTAAGCTGAGTTATTTAGACCTGGACACATCACGTATTCGAACGTGAAACGCTCACAAACATATTATTTCCCCCTTCCAGACTAATTCTTTGATAATAAACTGAATTATATCAGTACCGCTTCCCTCGTCATCCTCTTTATTTCATCATTTAGAATCATCGTCATCTCAACTCTGTTGACGTCTCGTACTTTTTTTTTATTTTTATCATGGGGTGAGACTGAGTCCACCTGTTACTGCGGTCACTGTTTGGCCTATTGTACCAGCTCCAGATAAGAGATGATGATTGTACAGCAATCGGTGGAATGCGATTTGTGAGGAGCAACCGAACTACTCCGATAAACCTGCCCTAGTGTCACTTAGTCTACCACAAATCCCACAAGACCTGACCCGGGTTCGAACACGGGCCTCCGCGGGTTCGATCCCGGGTCTGGTCAAGTGGGATTTGTGGTGGACATAGTGGCCCTGGTGCGGGTCTTATCAGAGTACTCTGTTTCCCCTGACAATCTTCATTCCACCAAATTCTCCATCATCATAATCACCCGGGGCAGACTACAATAGGCCAATCAGTGGCCGCCGTGGCTAGTGGACCCAGTTGGACTCCAGCCCCCACTAAGCGAATTAAAAGAAAGCCGCCTGAGCTATGGCACGGACTTTTGACGTCATGTAACTACTGCAACTTAATCATTTTCTTTCGTTCACGAAAGCTAACCACGTGGTTGCAGGACATTCCGTTGCACGTGTCCATGCTGAGCTTCCTACTCATCGCCGTGGACCGCTACCGCCTCATGCTGGACCCCACGAAGCCAAGGATGCCGTCCTTTGTGTGCGCCCTGGGCACCTGGCTGCTTGCAGTCTGCATCGTGCTGCCGTACCCTATCTACATCACCTACCTGGACCTCGGGGTGAGTGTGGGCGTACTTTGCACGCCTGGTTAACCTAACAAGCAAGATGTCATTACTATCTGCCAGTATCTTTCACTCCGGAAAGAGAACAAAGTAATGATGTCTTGTGATGAAATAATTGTGTCTCTTTCTGTGTATCCCTCCTCAGCTGGCCTCCAAGGATTGGCCGCAAGCGTAAGAGTAAAGGTGGCCCTGTGCTTAAGAGCCACGCCGTGAAGATAGGCAAGGAAGTGGAGATATAGGTCCAACATTTTTTTTTTGTCGGAATTGGATGGGAGTGGCCAGCTTCACGCCCCTTTCGCCTTACTTTGAGGAAATTAAAATTTCGCTTAGAGGGGGGTGGAGTCCAGCTGGGTCCACTCGGCACGGCGGCCACTGATTTGCCTATTGTACCTGCCCCGAATGAGTATGATGATGGAAAATTTAGTGGAATGAAGATTGGCAAGGAAAACCGAAGTACTCGGATATAACCCGCCCCAGAGCCACTTTGTCTACCTCAAATCCCACTTGACCAGATCCGGGCCGCCGCGGTGGGAAGCCAGCGGCTAACCTCTTGAGCTATGGCGCGGCCAACTTCGAGGAAAGGACCCCAAACACCCATTGGATAGAATAATGGGTGGGTCCCAGAGCCGTTCTGGAAGCTCTGGAGAAGGGGGGGGGGATCTCTTGCCCTTGTCGGGAATCGAACACCGATTCTTCAGCCGTTCACCCGTAGTCCGTCACTGTATCAACTGAGCTATCCCGGATGTTCTGATCTCATGACCCAATTGTTTCCGAGAAGCGGAGGCCTTGTTCGGAAGACGAGAGTCACTCGGATATTGAATGAATCCCATATTTTATGGAAACTGAAATTTTATTACATTGTTAAATATCGGGTTTCGACCTTACCTTGAACACGCTCAATCCAGTTCACACATTAGCATCCTATTTATCAAGGACATATTTTCATATTTTCCTCCCTACTAAGCCCAGCTCTCCAAAACAATTTATTTCCCTAGGGTTTGTAATATGATTTTCGAATACATTATTGGATATCCAACGCATGTTCTGTACGCTACTGTCATAGTCTCCTTGATATGATCATCAGACATTCCCTGAATTTAATATTCTCCTCCACTTAGGCCTGTCTGAAGGGAGTAAAATGAGGAAGATATTTTGGAAATAACAAAAATATAGACGTTATTAGAACACGCTACAAACGAAGGCGTCTCACTCTTTAAACATGAAAATACTGCCCCTTGTAGGTTTTTATTAAATACGCGGCAGTATTTGTCTCAGCCAATGTTAATTAAAATACTAATGGCTCATTGTTAAAATTCCTGTCTTCTCCAATTTAATTAGCGGCACTGACAGTGTTAGTAATAATTTAATTTATTGGTACTGGGGAGTCAGTTATGAATTCCTGAACACTATATTCCTTTTAAGCACTTCATGAACGTGTTCATCTGTTAAGCGTGAATTTCCTCGAATTTCTCCATCGGAGATTATTCATAAATTTTGCGTGTTATTCTTAATATAAATGAGATTCAGGTCGCAAAAATAATATATTGTACTCACGGCCTGTTCCGGTTATAAGAATAAAAAATGTCCCTGATATTTTTTGTCGGAAGTCCTTGGCATTTTGTAGCTTTCGATATTAATAAGGCATCTTCAGGATTCAGTTCTGGTTATACCTTCCGATTTTTCTAGCCTTTCCTTTTGATACTTGCTTATTATTGAATCGATATATGTTATTCATAGTTCATATCATTCACTCATTCGTGGAGCTGAACCCTTGTTGGGGAGCCGCCAGCTGTGCAGCTACTCAATAATTTCCCAGTATTTTATGGAACCCAAGGTTCGTTACCGTATTCACAAGAGCCCTCCACATGTCCCTATAATGAGCCACATTAATCCAGTCCAACCATCCCATCCTATCTCTCTAAGATCCATTTTAATATTATCTATCCACTTACGTCTTGGTCTTGCTAGTGGTCTCTTTCCTTCTGGCTTTCCCACCAAAATCCTATATCCATTCATCTTCTTCACCATTCGTGCTACATACCTTGCCCATTTCATCCTCCTTGACTTTATCATTCTAACTATACTTGGAGAAGAGTACAAGTTATGAAGCTCCTCATTATGCGGTTTTCTCCTACCTCCTGTCACTTCATCCCTCTTCGGTCCAAATATTCTCAACACCCTGTTCTCAAACACCCTCAATCTATGTTCCTCCCTTAATGTCAGAGACCAAATTTCACACCCATAGAGAACTACAGACAAAATTATGGTTTTGTAAATTCTAATTTTTATGTTTAGACAGCAGACGAGAAGACAAAAGGTTCTGGACTGAATGGTAGCAAGCATTAGCCGAATTCAATCTCCCTTTATTTTCATCCTGAATCAGGTTTTGATTTGTTATAGTCGTTCCGAAATATATGAACTGTGCCACATTTTCAAAACATCTGTTACCTGTCTATATGTCATGATTTTGTCCTGCATTTTGGTGACGAGACAGCAACATATCCTTTTTTTTTATTGCTTCTGTGGTGGGACTAAGTTCCTTGTACTGCGGCCACTTCTGGCTATTTGTACCAGCTCCAGATGATAGGTGAGGTTGATTGTGGAGCAATTGGTGGAATGAAGATTGGCAGGGGAAACCGAAGCACTCTGAGAAAACATGCCCCAGCACAACTTTGTCAACCACAAACTCCACTTGACCAGACCCGGGATCGAACCCGGGCTGTCGCAGCGGGAAGCCAGCGACTAACCGCTTGAGCTACAACATATACTTAGTTCATATCTAACAACATATATTTCATGATCCATGTTTTTTCTTTGCTTATTTTGTATATCAAGAAATAAATGCGAATTTCTGATACTAGCCATCACCAGTCCCATCTAAGGGCCCCACAAAATATAACAATTTTTTCTAGTTCATGAGGATACTGATGGAGTCAGCATTCCAAACGCCAGACAACTTCCTTGATCCAGATAGTGGACAGTGTCCAAAGGAAACAATCCTTTATCCGCTTTTATTGTTCTGAAGACTAGTGGGCGATTAATTGTAAAGCAATAGATAAACAGACCGAATTTTATCGTTCTAGAAACGAGACTGTAAATACTATGACAGTTTATGTTAACGTGTGCCAAGCATAATGTTTAGAGAGAATTCTTGGGGCTCCTTTAAATTACATTTCATGCAGTATTTGTAATGAATATAGTAAATATTCGTAGGCCTAGCTCTTATTTTATTTGTAGTTTAATTTTTGGTGTTATCAGGAATATATTTATGACTACAGTAAATAAACTAACCGATATACTTTCTAATTGATTGATCCTATCATATTCATCACAAGTGAAAGCATTGCATGTTATATGAAGCCATAATTAATTACTTCATATATAGAGAGGAACTGATATATTTTGTGCACAAAAGAACAGCTTTGGAATAATAGTAATATCAGTAATTTCTTCAAACGAACCTCTTGTTTTAAGTATTATACAGAATGTTCCAAAAAGAATGCTACCGTACTGGAAAACTGGATGTTTCCTCAGCTGAATCAAGAGTCCGACGAATGCATCATCCAGCAAGATGGAGCTCTGCCCCATTTTCATAGGGAGATTCGCGAAATTTTAAATTGTGTGCTTCCTAAGCGATGGGTCGATCGCCATGGGCCCAATGAAAATCTGTTGCTCTGGTTGCCACCCAGGTCACCGGACCTCATACCCTGCTATTTCTTCTTGTGGGGCTATGTGAAAGACACTTTCTATGTGACAAAATAACCCAGCAATTTACAGGAGCTGCAAAATCTAATTGTGGCTGCTTTGGAATAGTAACAACAGATATGTTGCAGCGAATCTGGCAAGAAATTGACTGTCAGCTGGATTTGTGCGTATGACACGAGGTGCCCATATTGAGGGACTGTGAAGAACTGGTATGAGACTTGAGGAGTTTTCCTATGTTTCTAAATATGTTAAATCATTTTCAGGTAGTAATTAACATAATTAGTCGGTCACGGTAGCCGAGCGGTCTAATACATGCACTGTCTTCGCTCGCTTGGATGCCGGGATCGTGGGTTCGAATCCCACTAAGGGCATGGATGTTTGTGTGCGTTTTTCTGTGTTTGTCTACAGGTAGAGGCCTTGCGACGAGCTGATCACTAGCCCAAGGAATCCTACCGAATGTGTAAGATCTAGAAAAACCGAAGTGAACGGAGTTCATGGAGGTAGGCCTAGGCCCACTGGAGCTGTAGTGCCAAGAAAAAAATTAACATAATTACAGTAATTTAAAATGGTAGCATTCTTTTTGGAGGATCCTGTATAATATTTCATTTGACTCTTCTATGTGTTTCTTGTGTGCGTGTGTGTCTGATTTGATTATTAGGAGACCACGCACATTACATTTTAATGCATAAATCAGTGTCAGTCTCTGCTTCGTTGTTTTCATGATGTGTGAAGACTTGCGACGCCACGGCGGTAGACGTGTAACAGAAAACACGTGTGATGTCACGTCGTACTTTTCGTAGATTATTTAACGGCGCTTTCTGTGTCGAGACTCTATAGCGTCTGATGGTAGGATGATAGAGAATGATGATTATTTGGTAAGGATTTGGAAGGTAGCGGTCGTAGTTTTTCCGAGGTACTCTCCCGAAACTTGCCGGGAGGGACTGATGAGAATCACGAAAATCCGTAGTAAGAATAGCCGGTGTTGTGTCGATATTCGAGCAAAGAGCCTTCCGAATACAAGTGTAGAGTCTTACAAGCAGAATAGCCTCTTCCGTGATGTCTTGTCCTTTCGCTTTTATAATTTGAATTTTTGTGAAAACAATTCAGTGGTTTGATATTTAGCGAGAGCTTGCAAGAGTATGTTAAACATGGCGACAGTACATGTTTCATGAAGTAATTTCATTACGTTAATTAAGTTAATTTTAAGAATACCCCTGAGATGAATGGGTGATTACGATAAATATCGATAAACATACATTGTTGGCAGTTATAAAGGATATCATACTTTGAAG